TTACAAAAACTTCGAACACACATTTAATTTTGATTTGAAGAACATTAAAATTTAATGTTTTTTTTTTTTAAAAAAAACATGATTTTAAATGCAAACTATGGTTATGGAAACACAATAGCAAACGAGCCAAAAGTAACATCAACATAAAGCTTTGATTTCTTGTAGGCTTTTAATGTGATGACATTAACAAGAGGGATGTGGAAATCCTACCAGGCAAAACATACAAGATGTCATCATCCGATGTTGAAAGCCATTTTGTTCTCTAGTTCTTGGATCATAAATTTCATCATTGTCCTGTAAAAAATATACATTGTTGTAATTTTAATTACGTAGCATTCCCTTTGTGACTTCAAGCAATAACCACAAACTTGCATTGTTTATTGCTCTTGAGCACCATATGGCTGATATTTAATTAAAGGTCCTATCATACTCCTAGCATGCATGATCACTAAAAGTAATTAGTCCTAAATATACATTAAATCTTATATTTCTTCTCAATTTTATCTCTAATTTCTTGTAATTAAAGTCCTATCATACCCGCAACATATAAGATCACTATAAATAATTGGTCACAAAACAAGGTTAGATACATATTTAAACCCTATATTTATTAATGAGTTTTTCCTTTATCATACCCCCAACATGCATAATCACTACAAGTAATTGATCTCAAAACAAGGTTAAATACATTAAACTTTATATTTATCTTGTTGGTCACAAAACATGGTTAGATACATGTTTAAACCCTAAGTTTTTCCTTTATCATACCCCCAAGCATAATCACTACAAGTAATTGATTCCAAAACAAGGTTAAATACATTAAATCCTATATTTATCTTGTTGGTCACAAAACGAGGTTAGATACATATTTAAACCCTATATTTATCAATGAATTTTTTCTTTATCATACCCCCAAGCATAATCACTACAAGTAATTGATCCCAAAGCAAGGTTAAATACATTAAACCTTATATTTATCTTATTAGATATATGAGATCGTATTCTTAATCTATGTAGATCATTATTTTTTGATGGAAACACCACAATTTATCAAATTTTACCATCATTTGACTTGATAATTATCCATGAGAGATTTTGTTTTCAACTTAAGGTAATTGAGATTGTGAAAGACTTTCTTTACTTCGCAGGTATTAATAAATTTTAAATTTTATTTTTTAAAATTTAAACTTAAAAACAAACTATATTTTTATTTACAAATCATAAAATAAAGTTTAAATTTCAAATTCATGTATGGAACAAGAAAGAAATCATTCATGAATAATAACATAGTAGTCCATTCATTACATTAAAAAAGAAATTACAACTCTAAAATAAAATTAAAAATTAAAAAAAAAAAAACAAATGAGAGTTTGATCATGTATCAAGCCTTATTTGTCTCTATATTTAATTTTTATTAGATTTTTTTTATTTACAAGAAAAATCCAATCTAACTAGATAATATCAAATTGTATAATGCATTGAATAAAATTGTCTTAGATTGAAAATAGGAATTAGTCGATGATGAGACTCATGTCATCTTTATATATCAAGTGGTGTTACGTGGAGTGAATGGACACCAAAATAACTGTGATACTTGATGGCTGCGTCACCACTTTCATGGCACATGAACATTGTATTGGCCAGTTTTGCTAGAATTAATGGTCCAAATTTATATGGATTTTTCATTGGGAGAGAAACCGACTTTATTGCTAAGAAAAGCCCACCACGAAAAAATGATTCTGAAAGGTGAAAGAAACCTAACCAAAACATCACCTCATTAAAAATCAATGACTATTGCATATGTTTTGCACCTTCTTATAGCATATCCAACGGGAAAGTTAAATAAAAAGCTAAATATTAAAAATTATATTTTTAGTTTTTATTTTTTTTATTTTAATGTGTGAGATAAACAAATAACTATTTTTTTATTTTAATGTTTTGCACCTCCTTACACTCTTTTCATTTTTTTTACAAAATTAAAAAATAAATGAGAGTTTGATAAGGTATCGAGCTTTATTTGTCTCTATATTTAATTTTTATTAGATTTTTTTTATTTACAAGAAAAATCCAATCTAACTAGATAATATCAAATTGTATAATGCATTGAATAAAATTGTCTTAGATTGAAAATAGGAATTAGTCGATGATGAGACTCATGTCATCTTTATATATCAAGTGGTGTTACGTGGAGTGAATGGACACCAAAATAACTGTGATACTTGATGCTGTGTCACCACTTTCATGGCACATGAACATTGTATTGGCCAGTTTTGCTAGAATTAATGGTCCAAATTTATATGGATTTTTCATTGGGAGAGAAACCGACTTTATTGCTAAGAAAAGCCCACCACGAAAAAATGATTCTGAAAGGTGAAAGAAACCTAACCAAAACATCACCTCATTAAAAATCAATGACTATTGCATATGTTTTGCACCTTCTTATAGCATATCCAACGGGAAAGTTAAATAAAAAGCTAAATATTAAAAATTATATTTTTAGTTTTTATTTTTTTTTATTTTAATGTGTGAGATAAACAAATAACTATTTTTTTATTTTAATGTTTTGCACCTCCTTACACTCTTTTCATTTTTTTTAAAAAAAAAACTATGTAGGTTAATTTAAAATTACATTATTTTTAAAAAAAATTAAAAAGCTAAAACATGTTGATCTCAAAAGAAATTTAAATCAATTAACTCACTTAATTAATTTTTATATAATTTAATTTAAAATAATTAAAATTAAAAATTGGATGAATAAATCATCAAGTTAACTTATGATTTAATGATATTAGTTTAATTGATATATTAACAAAAAAAAAGTCTTTTTTCATAACCTTTCATTGAATTTTAACACGAAATCATCATAACAACAAACTTACTGATACTAACCTTAGCCAACATAAAATCAATTTGACTTTCATGATTTTCTCTGTAAATATTGGACGGTCAGAATGCTTCCTGGCTGTGAGTCCCAAACTGGGTTTCTCCGCTCAATATTCTGGGCATGCTCCTAATTTGTTTTTACGGCACGGCTTACACGTGGAACTTGTGTTAGGTGCGCGCTGCGCACTCTACTCTACGTCCCCATCAGTGTTACATCGTGCATGGCACCCCTTTGGACTTCCATGTTTACACTTTACTTATTTTTAGTTCATTTTATTAATTATTAATTATTTCTTCACTTCAACGGTGTTTATATTTTACTAATGGCATGGGTATGTATTGACATATTATCAACATTTCTCAATCAATTAAATTGCTGGGATATCTTAGCATTTAATTTAATTTAATTTAATGTATCTATTTATATATGTATATATGATCGTTGGATTAATAAGATGTATCTATTTATACATGTATATATGATCGTTGGATTAATAAGATATATAAAGGAATTATACTCCAAAATCATAAAGAAAATAGCTTGAATATATTCTTCGAGTTTTTTTTATTGTTTTTTATGTTTAATATTTCTTGTGTGAAAATATTCTTTAATTACAAATGACTTGAGAGTTAGGATGCTAAAATTAATCCCGATTTTTCATATTAAAAAGAAAAGATAAGAATCTCACCTTCGTTTATTACCCAAGCAGTAAAATGGGATTTATTTATTTATTTTTAATTATAAGTGAAGTCTGGAAGCAAACCACCAATTATCTTGGGACAAATTAATATCATAACATCACCATTAATAAACGGAACTAACTAAATATACTGAAAGGATAATATTGTTAATTTTATGAAAATTAATTTCCCTAAATAACTATAGCAAAATATCACAATTGTCATGGTCCATTTTGAGAAAATAAATAAATACAAATAATAGATGAAGATCTTCCAAAAAAATTAAAATTTATTCGACCATGTGATACACAAATATCTCATGTAAATATGTTATGGTAATTGAAGAATAATTAAATAAATTGTAGTTACAAGGTCCATTTTGGAAAAATAAATAAATAAAACGAAGTAAAAAGAAGGAAAATGACACTTATAAAAAGAATAATCTAATTATTCCCACTCACACCTTATAATAATTTTCCACTCTCTATTTTTGACTCATATTGTTTTATCTATTTTTCCTTCAAAATAAATTGAATCACGGAATATCATATTTCCAGTTTCATGCATTGTGGGTCCCAATGAGCTGCTTGAAATGATAAACTAAAAAACTCATTTAATCTGAGATTTCAATAATAACTCCGAGTCAATGACTTTCAAATGAAGCGATTTATTTACATTGAATTAGCTCAATTAACGAATATATTTTAAGCTTTAATTAATTTCAGTATAAATACTATAATATATTTTTAATATGAATATTAAAAGCATAATATTTTTACCTGCATTTTTTTCCGGTAATGACTAGCAATTAAATTCCATTTATGGATATGTTAAAATGAAAATTACTGTTATGTTTTGAAAGTTTTTATTATTATTACTTTTCATTGCTTCAATTTTTTGAGTTTTCAGGTTTTTTTTATATGCTAATGTTAAAAATAAATTTAAAAAAATAAAAATATATATTATATTAATATTTTTAAAATAAAAAAACTTTAAAAACTAAAAAAGTTTTTGATTTCTACACATACTGATAATATCTTTTGATGTCAATATAAATATCATAATATTTTTTACTGGAATTTCATCGCAAGCAAGAGTTAAATTCTATTTATAAATTTATTTAAATAGTATTTTTTTATATGGACACATGGCTGTTTGGTATTGTATTAACGTATGTGATAAGAAAATCTTTTAATATAATATTTTTATAAAATTTATTTTATTAAAAATATTTTATAATTTAAAAAACTATAATAATGTCAAACACAATCCAACAATATACTTGCCATTGGCTATCCTTGTAATGAATTTCATAAAAAAGATCTCCATTAACCTTTGATATTTTCATTTTCCTCAGTATGACAAAAAAACCACCATACATGCACATAATTCCTCCCTCCGTCCCTCCCTCCCTCCCTCCTATATAATGCTCCGCTCCGTCCCCTCCTCTTAACCAATCTCCATCTCTCTCGCATCCAAGTTTCTATCAAGAAACCAGAGAGACAGAGAGGGGATTTACAATTAGAAACAGCAGCTAAGCAAGATGCAGAGATTTATAACCAAAAGGGTATTGTCGTCGTCAGCAAATTCTCCGCGTTCTCATCGCTGCTTCTCTCAACTTGCCCAAAAACAATCCTCCTCCGTTCATGATAATGATATCCCTGTTCCCAAACTACCCCCATTCGATTATTCCCCTTCTCCTTACACCGGTCCTTCCGCCGACCAAATATTGGCTAAACGCAAACAATATCTCAGCCCTTCTTTGTTTCACTTCTTCAGTAAACCTGTGAGTCTTCACTACACCCTATCATTCCTCTTCTTTTATGTTTTCTCGTGATAAATCTCGGGCAGAACTGCTAGTTGAAGCAGAAATCGTGGGCTCGGCTGATGTCCCACATGGGATTCTTGTCTTTTTCTATGTTTTTTTTTAATCTAAGAATATTGAAGATTGATTTTGATGGAATATACTGTTGAATTCTTTGCAGTTAAACGTGGTTGATGGAAAGATGCAGTATCTATTCGATGAGAACGGCCGTAGATACCTTGATGGTTTTGGAGGTATTGCTACGGTGTGTTGCGGTCATTGTCATCCTGACGTGGTTGATGCGATTGTCAAACAAGTCAACCGTATACAGCACTCTACTGTTCTTTACCTCAATCATGCCATTGCTGATTTCGCCGAGGCCTTGGCCTCCAAAATGCCTGGAAACCTTAAAGTAAATTAAAAAAAAAACTCATGGGTTCAATTTGTTTTTCTTTCAATGGGAATTTTGGTTTTTTTTAATAGATTTTCCAGCTAAACTAGTTAGCGCCCGCATTGGCGTATGGTTTTGATGTATAGGTGGTGTTTTTTACGAATTCGGGGACGGAGGCGAATGAACTAGCGTTGATGATCGCAAGATTGTATACGGGTTGTCAAGATATAATATCGTTGAGGAATGCTTATCATGGGAATGCAGCTGGGACTATGGGGGCTACAGCACAGTCTCTTTGGAAATTTAATGTTATTCAGGTAAATCTTCTTGAAAAATTATGGGCTTTTTTATGGTTGAATGTTGTTTGTTTCTTTGAAAAATCCAATATGATGACCCCAAGCTTTATGGAGTCAATTCAATGTGAAGTTAGGCGGTGACTGTGGACTAGTAGTAATATTAGGAAGCTGTCAAGGGGGTGTGTGCTTGGCAATTTTTGGTTAAGAAAAATAAAGGATTTTGTATTTTTTTTTTTTTTTTAAGAATATAGAAATAAAGGTTAGTGGAAAGGAGAAACAAAAGGGGTGATGTTTGGTTATATAGGAGAGATGAAAGGAAATATTGATAAATGGAAATGTAGGGTCCACAAGCTTGAATTATTGGATGTCTTTAATATAATTAATTGTATTAAATTTGTTCTTCACTTTCAATGTTCCTGTTTGTGAGTAACTTATCAATGGTCTTGGGATGTATAATTTGTTACTTCATAACTTCTGATAATGTGGAGAAAGAGCAGATTTTTTTTGTGGAGATTGTTCTTTCAAGTTCTGAAGTTACCAATACAGCTTGCTTTTGTCATCCATCCACTAATCCACTTTCCCCAGAAAGTTGAGGCCATTGTCCTGTCAGAGCCTTGTTGAAGGGAGTATTGCGAAAGTGCTGGTTTTATTGTAATGTTCTCTGTCACTTTGTGGTTTCTGGGAAGAACTTAACCACAAATAATGTGCTGTTCAAATCTATGCTTGCCATGCCTAACCATTTACATGTCAGTATTCATCATAAATTGTAATTGCAAATTCCATTTTGTGAACAGAGTGGAGTCCATCATGCATTGAACCCAGATCCATACAGAGGAGTATTTGGTTCAGATGGAGAAAAGTATGCAAAAGATGTCCAAGATATTATTGACTTTGGGACTTCTGGTCATGTTGCTGGATTTATATCTGAAGCTATCCAGGTGATCATCATCTACGCTGATTTTTATTGATTAACATCTTATTATCCTTGGCGAGACACCATTGAGCACTTTATTGATTAACATCGTATTATCCTTGGCGAGACACCATTGAGCATGCTTATCAGAAATATTTTCTGTGGTAGGGAGTGGGAGGAATTATAGAATTGGCCCCAGATTACTTGCCTGCGGCTTATAAAAGTATCAAGAAAGCAGGAGGCCTTTGTATTGCTGATGAGGTTCAGGCTGGTTTTGGACGCACGGGGAGTCATTTCTGGGGATTTGAGGCCCAGGGTGTTGTTCCTGACATTGTGACAATGGCAAAGGTTAGTCCTCCCCTGTTTGGTTCAGGCATTGCCTTCCTTTCTTTGGCTGGAAAATACAAAAACAGCTGCTTCCTACGTTGGCAATTGTATTTGGATGATCATATCTTCAATTCCTGGTCTTAGATGTTCGTCTTTCATGCCAGGTTTTCTTGTTACTTGTCATTACAATTCTTTAGGCACATCTTTAGACAAGTCCCATTGGATACATACAGATTTGCCTCATAGATTTCTCAGTATGCCTACCTTTCCTCGCATAAGAAGCTGGGTTTACGTGTCAACTTATTTTTCCTTATTGACACTCGCAGGGGATTGGGAATGGCATTCCTCTTGGTGCTGTGGTGACCACCCCTGAAATTGCAGAAGTCTTGACTCGTCGGAGTTACTTCAACACATTTGGAGGAAATCCTTTATGTACCGCTGCAGGTCTGGCAGTTTTAAAAGTGATCGAGAAAGACAATCTTCAGGAAAATGCACTAGTTGTGGGGTCCCATCTGAAAAAGAGACTGACTGAACTCAAGGATAAATATGAAAGTAAGTTGCCTCACATGTTATTCTGTTAATGATCATTAAACCTCAACCTGAATTAAGTAAAAAAAACACCTCTCTTTATGCTGTTTGACTTTGTACTTCTACCTATGTTTGGGAACGTTTTAAAAGTGTGTTTTGCATGAAAAGGCATCAAATTGATGTATTTTTTTAGTGTTTTCTGGTAGTTTTGATTATTGATGTTAATATATATAAACAATTATTGACTTTTGGAAAACACCTTGCATTTTCTGATATGTCTAATGTGCAGTTTTGAAATAACACATCCTCATATGATTAAATACCTTAATTTTTAACTATATTTAAGTTTTTTAAAGGTTTTATTTTCGACATCAGCAGTTAAGCAATACGGTTGTTGAGAACTCTTCTGGTGGTATTTGCTCTTTATATTATTATCAATGGTTGCTTTTTCCATAATTGTCTGCAGTCATTGGAGATGTGAGGGGAAAAGGATTGATGCTTGGTGTTGAACTTGTAACTGACCGCCAACAGAAAACTCCAGCAAAGGCTGAAACTCTGCATGTAATGGAGCAGATGAAAGGTAGATATCCCTCTCATCCCATCGTCCTGCTAACCTCTTGAGCCAACTTCTAGTCACTAACAGGCCTTTTTTGTCATCACAGAACTGGGGGTCTTGATTGGGAAAGGCGGATTCTATGGCAACGTTTTTAGAATTACACCTCCGCTATGCTTTACTAAAGAAGATGCAGGTACGGCTTTTTCGTTTCTCTCGGAGACGACCATTATCTACTATATATTACCAGCTTGGCTGCCATTCTTATCATCTTGTGTACCCTTTTGGTTGCAGATTTCCTTGTGGATGCGATGGATTACACAATGTCAAAGATGTGAAGTCTACAGCTATAATGTAGATATAGATGTCTATTGGGTCATTCACAAGCTGGTCACAAGCTGGTCCTACTGGTTGATCATGTGCTTTTCATTGTGAGTGAAAAACAATGAATGCATAAATAGGTTTGTACCTTGAATAATTTGCTAGGACAAAGTTTAACGATGAGTCAACCGCTCGTTGTCTCTTGGGAACCTCTCTTTGGGTTCTTACTTCAATAATAATTTGCATGAATGTTTCTTTCTTTGTTTGGAAAATCCCTGGTAATCTCCTTAACAAATCCCAATTGTACTCCACTTGAATTCATTTAGAAGAGCAGAATGCATTTTCTATGACTTATTTCACCATCTAAAACCATGAATCACGCAATAGTTACTCTTACAAATCATTAAAATTCATCTATATCTTTTTCCCTATAACATGAGAGAAGCCGAATCCACAAATTGAATTATTTTTCAAAATTGAATTATTTTAAAAATCTTTATGCTCTAAAAAAATTATATTCAAGCTGATAATTTTTAAAATTAGTAATAAATATGTGGTTTTTTGTTTTAGTTTTATTTCTTTTAAGTTTGTTTTGTTTTGTTTGTTTTATTATTTAAAAAAATACATATAAAATTACTAACGAACTAAGCACTAAGCACTTCGAAGAGTTTCCTAGAGTTCAAAAACAATTAAATAACTTAGTATTAAATAACTTAGTCATTGATCATTACAGATCTATTAAAGAGTTCCAAATAATTGAAAACAAATTGCATGAATTTGTCACTCATAATATATAAAACACCAATGGATTGTTTTAATTGATAATTTGAAATCAATCATGAAAAAATTGTAAAATGTATTTTTTATTGGTAATATGTCATATTCTTGATAGAATTACTGACCGGATAATATAGTAAAATTTTTTCATCTATAAATATATCAATAATTATATTATTGACATAATAACTAACAGAATAAAAACCATCGACGATAAGTTTTTTATTGATCATGTATAATACATAATTCCATTAATAAATTTAATTTAATTTAATAAAATTAGTATCTAAATACCTGCAAAATAATCCATGGATAGTAACCAAATTTTGGCAGTAAATCATCATGAATTTTTAATTTAAATTTTTAATCAATTTAAATTCATTTAAATTTTCAATCAATTTCTCCACCCATGAGAATTTTTTTAAGCAGAAAAGTGTTTCAAATTATTAATTGCAAGTAATTTTTTTTTATCTATCAATTATTAAATTAAATTGTGGATGGATGAAAAATTAAACCGAGAAAATATTTGATTGACATGTTTTTATAAAATATTTTTTCAATGTGGGATTTGAAACCCTTTCATATATATACTCTATGCTCCCATGAAAAAAATCATGTTTTTTCAATGTGAGATTTGAAACTTATTAGTATAAATACTATATATTTTCAAGAAAAAAATTATGTTTTTTCAATATGGAATTTGAAACTTATTAGTATAAATACTATATGTTCCAAAAAAAAAAATTATCTTTTCAATGTAGGATAAATTTTTTAAAAAAATATTCTTTTAAATTTCATTATTTATAATATGTATAATTTATATTTATATAGATTTTTTTATATGAAATATTAAAACTTTATTTTTTTTTTATTTTTCCGGGTTGACCCCTAAAACCTGAAACCCGACCCCTTAACCGGGTCAATCTCTGGATCAGGTTTAATAACTATGGTTTTGAGGCGAGGAAGCGGCTTAAAGATCGACTGTCGCGCCATTCTTGTCACGAAGGAAAGCCATTCCAAATATAAGTATTTTTTATAATTTATATAATTCGCGAAGGAAAGCCATTCCGAATATATATATATATATAAGTATTTTTTATAATTTATATAATAGAAAGTTAAAGAATTAAAATTAAACTCAAAGAAAACAAAAGTGTTTAGAGAGATATGACCTGAACAAAGTGAATTTTGAACTTAAATCACACTAGTTTACTCGGATCTCAGGTCCTAAATTTAGATTTCTTATAAAATATATTTTTACAATAAACCTAAATGAAGAATTAATTTTTTGTCAATATATATTTTGAGCTTGGGATTTGGTTTACTAGCTTTTTAGCTCATAAAAAAAATTATTGTAAGCCCATTAATTATTCTAACTAATAAATAAAAATAAAAAGTCTAAGCAATCTTTTTTATCAACTTAATTAGTTTTATTCAACACAGAAAACTTCTGGTTTAAAGTTAAAGTTATTATGTATAATTTAATTTTATAACCGGTAATGAAGATTGATAATAGCAAGAATTAATTCTATATTAGTCAAAATTCATTATGAAAGGAGTTTGAAGAAATATTTTTATTTTGTTACATAATTTTACACAAAAAAAAAAAATTGCACTCACCTCAATTTTCAGTCTAGTTTCCTTAATTTTAAGATGTGTTTTTCCTTTTAGTTTTTATGTTACTCAAGAGCATAAGTTTTGCCCATTTAAAGAGATATTTAAATAATATTTTTTTTAAGATGGTAAATTTTATTTTGAAAAATAACTAAATAAGATAGTATTATTAAAATTTTAAGAGATTTATTAAAAAATATTTTAATTACATCACGAGATGAATAATAAAAAATTTATGGTTAAAAATTTTAATCTTAATAACAACAAATCTTTTAAAAGATTTTGATTGAATTAACTGAATAAGTTTTTACCGGACCAGCTACATAAAACTGGTTTAGCTCGAGGTTGGTTTTTTGGACACCTAGCTTGTGCCAGCGGCAGGTCGGACGGAAAATGCTCTTTCAATACTCCACGTTCAAATCAAATTTCGAAATTATTATTATTAATATTATCCATCGATTTTGAAGTGGATTACAGAACCACCATCAATCGAACAATAATTGAAAAACATAAAATTAATTAACAGCGATACAGAAAGAGGAAAGGGTAGCTAGAGAAGCAACCAACGATCATGTCGAACAGCCATTGATGGCGCAAGGGAGTACCTGCGGAAAACTGCAGTGTTAGAATGCCTAGAGTGCAAGGCAGAGTTGTATCGGATAGCTGACACAGAAAGCAAGATGACATCCAGCAAGAGGAGCGCAAGATCTTGAAGAAAGCTAATGTTTTTCCTTAGCATTACACTCAACAATGTGGACATTGATAGGTGTCGAGCTGGGCACACCATTTATGGATTTGATTGTTGACTATGAGATGATGCAGATAGTTAGCACGAACCAACAAGAAGAGATAGTGTGTGCAAAGAAACAAAGGGTAGTGGATGGGTTTTAATGAGAAACTAGGGCTAGGTCAATCATTGTAAAGATGAGAACATCATGTGCTCATTCCATGGACAAAGCGAGCAGCATAGTTTTCTCCGTACATCAAGATTCTGGGACTTTTAGCTGAAAATGTCGACCATTTTTCACTGAATAATTAATTAATAATGGGAAAACCTCAACCCTTCAACTACCTCTTGATTCCCAAGAAAACAATTTCCTCCCCTTCAACTAGCTCTTGATTCCCAAGAAAACAATTTCCTCATTTAAGTTTCCTGCCTATTAATAAGAATTCCTCACTTTGATCTTCCCCATTTAAATCACCACGGGTTCTTAGTTCAATTTCTCATTCATGTTTTCATCCAAGTTTTCCACCCACGAGAGTTTCTTAATCGAAAAAATAACAAATTATTAATTGTAAGTAAACATGGTGGTGGCGATGGTGACATGTTCGTGGTGATCATAGAGGTGAAAAAGATGATGGGGTGGCGATAATGACATGATAATGATGGTAAAAAAGAAGAAGAAGATAATTATTGTGATGATGAGATAGTGATGGTGGGAAAGAAGAAGAAGAAGATCATTATTGTGATGATGAGATAGTGATGGTGATACAATAATGGTGGAGTTAGATAGGTGGTTGAGGTCGTGGTGGAGGAGGAGAATGGTGATATAGCGTCGATTAAAAAAAGAAATAGCAGTGAAGAGATTGTGATGGTAATGAAATAAAGATAATAGTTAAAATAGTTGGGTAATATTATAAGTGAATTATTATTTATAAAATTTTATAATTTAAAAATATTGATGTAAAATTTTATATTAATTAATTTGTTTTTTTAGAATAAATACATAAAAATCTAGATAAAATATTTTAGGTGAAACAAACGGATCTAAAGAGGAGGAGGATGGCTGGGCCTTTGCGAACCTCTCTACATAGGCCCTACCTACAACAAGCTTAATTGGTGGATTAAGCGAGTCCAGGTGTGATGCTTCGCATGTCCATCACATCTAAATGGACCAACATCTACCACCTTATGCCATGTAGTTTAAAAGAGAGATTATTAGAACCCATTTTCAAGTACATATTTCCTTTTCTTTTTTCAACTTTGTTCCAAGGCATTCATAAGATAGTAGTTATTATCACGAGATAAAATAATAATCTAAATGGACCAACATCTACCACCTTTTTTTTTATTTTTTTGTTATGAAATGGTAAAAAATTATTTAAAAATTATTCAAAAAATATTTTCTTTATTTTTTTTTAATCTCAGTCTTAAATTGTCATAAACATGTTTTTAGTACTTCTATATTTGTAACATTAATTTAATGCAATCTAAATAAATTTTTAGTACTTCTATATTTCTATTCTTTCATTCCTTCATTGTTTTCTCATATTTTCTTTTTGTGGTTTTTTACAATATTCTCTTGTAAAATCAAGAGCTTAAAGAGCCTGCAACGTGTTCTAAGCAACAAGGATTTTCACTTAAGAAAAACCATCATTAAACATGTAATTCATGTCCCAATTTTCGCAAACAAGCCACAATTGAAAGGAATCGCCTTAAGGAAAGGGTGCTTGGGAAAAAACAAAGGTTCAGGTTAGTTTACTATTATTTTTTAAAATATATTTTATTTAGAAATATACTAAAATAATATTTTTTTATTGTTAAAATTTATTTTTAATATTAGTATATTAAAACGATATGAAAATACTAAAAACATAAAGTTAAAAATAAATAAATAAAATTTAAAAATATTTTTTAAATATAAAAAACAAAAATATTCAAAGTTTCAAAACGAATTGAGTAATTTTATCATTAGAATAATCGAATAGGCCCTTGTTGGAAAGCTGAAGTGTTACTCTTATTTTTCTCTCTCTTTTTTTTTTTTGTATTTGTTTTAAACTAAAATTTACTTGGATTAACCCAATGTAATGTCATCTTTATATATATATCCTTGAATTTTTTTAATCAAGTTATGTTTTATCTATTATTTTATTATTTTTT